AGGATTTAAAAATTAAATTTAGAATTTAGAAACTAGAATTAACTCTGGGACATGAACTTCACTTTGAACTCCTAGTTGGAGCAGGTGGCTGGGGTAACATTGGTAGTTTGGGCATACTTAGAACCACACTCTTCCTTACTATTGCTCTACATGTACCTAGCTTAAACACAGTATTGGTGTCTGAGTCTCACTTAAACTGTATTTCCTACACAGAAGGAATCTTCTCTATTCTGGAGAAACTTTCAGGAACTGTATTGGACTGGTGGGTGGGGCAAAAGGGGCAGGGCCAAAACATTAGAATTGACCAGTATATTTTAGCTTAATACTTTTAGAACTAGTAACTGAGCCTTAGCAGAGGTTCTAAACTTTGGAGAAATGCACAAAAGGTGGAAAAGCACAACATGATAGCTTGTTGACCACCTGGAGAACCCCAATGGGCCAGACTGGCAGGTTTAGGTTTCTGCATGCCTGCAGAATGAGTAGTACCAACTCATTGTACTTATGTAGTCAGAAATGCACCATTCACATAAAAGGTTTCTTGGGAAAACTCTCCTTTTCAGAAATACAGAAAATCTTTAGAGAGAAACTTTAAGATGAGGCAGGGGAAATGAAAGACCTCAGTGAAGTTGTTTGTTGGACACAGAATGCCCACCCACTGTTTGGATAGGTGGGGAATTTATTTATTTTTATTTATTTAAACCATTTTTATGCCACCCCATTCTCAAAAAGCCTCGGGGTGGCTTACAACAATAATCAGGAAGTAGAATTCAATGGAGTATGATGGTAAAGGACCATGCATGGCTGATTAGGATCCTGAATAGGAGCACTCCAGCACTGCAGTGTTTTACAGCAGATCCTACTTACTAACCTAGTTTTTCTTTCAGGGCCGGCCCTATTGTTAGGCAGAATGAGGCTGTTGCTTCAGGCAGCAGGTGCTGAGAAGTGGCAGCAAGCTATTGGGTGAAAAAACCATAGGGCTTTCCACTGTCCTGTGTGCCCTAAGCTGCCCATGGCCTTCAAGTGTGTTGAAAGATACTGTCCCCGTGCCATTGATCAACTACCAGTACAGTTGGACTTCAGGTGTGTTTTAGTTCGAGGCACAAAGCCAAAGAGAAGCAATGGTGCTTCTGAGCTGCCCTCATGTAGGAATCATCAGAGAGTTCAGAAATTGACATTTAATCTACAATGTTAAGAACACGCTTAATAATTCCATGTTGTGGAACATTCCACAATTTAACATTACTTTATTAATTTCCAATATATGTCAGAGGTTGGAGAACATGCGGCCCTGCAGATTTTTTGGAAATTCACCTACCAGCCTGCTTGACCATTGACCACTGGGGGTAAAGAACTGGAGTACAATATCTGGTGGGCCAGAGGTCCAGCAGCCCAGTATTACATGGTTTTATATTCCTGATTAGAATTCTTGTTTGGCAAATGACAAATGCCCCATCTCCTGAGTCTAATTAGATATATGTGTTTCCCTGCACATTCTAATCCTGAACACTCCACCTCCATGAGAGAAGAGGTTGAGAGAGCAATGTGTGAAGGATTCAAAGAGAGCTTTTCCATTAATTGGAGTGGGAGAATGAGGGGTGGGAGAATACGTGGGTTTTCACTTATAGGGGGTTAAGTGTCCAAGGAACAGTCCTGTGTCTTCCCATTATGCCGTATCAGCCTGCTTTTTTGCCCTACATGTTGTTCATGACATAATTAGAGTGAGTTACCATTTGAATGCCAAGGACCTTGGCAAGACCAATAATGACACCTTTTCAATTTTTTTTCTTTATGAACATGTTTTCATCCATTTTTTCACCTTGTTTCTGGTGTTCCATTTATTTATCTAATTTCTATATCACCTAATAAATGAAGTTTTTTTTACAACAGTTCCTTAAAACTGTGACACAATGAAAGATTCTGTGACATTTTCTATAATGCAGAATCTTTGATGTTGTTAGTCACGAAGTCATGTCCAACTCATCACAACCCCATGGACAACACTCCTCCAGGCCTACCTGTCCTCCACCATCCCCTGGAGTCCACTTAAGCTCGCACCAGCTGCTTCAGTGACTCCATCCAGCCACCTCATTCTCTGCCATCCCCTTCTCCTTTTGCCATCAATTGTTCCCAGCATTAGGCTCTTCTCCAGTGAGTCCCTCCTTCTGTTGAAAATCTTTGGTACTGAAGATGAGTTCTCATTCTCAGCTTGCCCAATAAGACTCAGTGGCAATACTTACAATTGCAAGATTCATTAGAATATAAATAGGGTCCTGCCACTTTTACAGCTTCAGAGTCCTTTTTGCTATTAGAAGCACTTATTGAGGTCGAAGTATTTGAGTTTCATCTTCAGTATATGGCCTTCTAAATGGCAGTCAGGGTTGATCTCCTCTAGGACAGACTGGTTTGATCATCTTGCAGTCCAAAGGACTCACAGGAGTTTTCTCCAGCACCAATATTCAAAGGCCTCAATTCTTCAGCACTCAGCCTTCCTCATGGTCCAGCTTTCACAGCCATACATTGCAACTGGGAAAACCATAGCCTTGACTATACACACTTTTGTTGGCAGGGTGATGTCTCTGCTTTTTAGCATGCTGTCTAGATTTGCCTTAGCTTTCCTCCCCAGGAGCAAGCATCTTTTAATTTCTTGGCTGCAGTCCCCATCTGCAGTGATCTTGGAGCCCAGGAAAATAAAATCTGTCACTGCCTCCATTTCTTCCCCATCTATTTGCCAGGAAGTGAGAGGACCGGATGCC